TCGCAGTTCTTTTCAGAGGCGAATAAAGAAAAGTAAAGCATAGTTTCAAAAAGAACATGAGTGGTATTTTCAAAAGAAAAATACCTCATATGGCTTCACTTTAAAAAACATTTATTTGGCCGAGTGAATTAGACCGATTGTTGAACTTTACGCGTGGCTGGAACGGCAATACCAAGTGGAATGACATGGTTTTATAAGATAAAAGGTTGAAGACTGTAGAAGACACTTGTAAGTTTTTTCTCCCCACATCGCGATCCTACTTCTTCAATCCTGTCGGAATGGTACGCAATTCAAAAATGGTCCGGGTAAATTTTTAATCCAGGTGTGGTAGTTTAAAGTTAATACTATAACCGCGGTTGTGCGGTTTTTTTATCCATGTGATAGTTATTTCTTTTCTATTCACTATGACCATGCGTAGACTGAATTAATAAAAGTGATGACTAAATAATAATTTAGTTACCACTTTGTCTATTTATCACAAAAATCACAAAAAATCACAAAGGAATATAGGTCATAAGTGAACCATCCGCGATTCTAGCGAAGGCCCAAATCGCCGCGGTTCTAGTGCTATGAGCTGTATGGCTCAAAGCGGCAAGTTTCAGAAAGAATTTTTTTTAAGTTGAGCTGAACTTTTTTTATATCGAATCCAAAGTTATCAGAAACTTAAATTCCGACAATATTATTGATACATTTTCTGTATTAAAATGTAGAAAAAAGCACTTTAACGGAAAGCAATTTGACTATTTATTACATTCTTCACTTTATTGTTGCGTTTTTTTTTATTTTTGTTTAATCAAAATATAGAATTTTCTAAAACGAGATCAAAAAGATTAATTTTTATATTAATTTAACGTGACTCTTGAAAAAAAATTGATCAGAAGATGACGTCACGTATATCTGCGGATAAATGCAGAAGACATCGTCTATGCACTAACAAGCGTATGGCGTATGAACGGTACAACGTACGAAGAAGATGAACTTACATCTCATAAAAAAGTGTTCTATATAGATATTTTAGCTTGTATGTGTAAAATAAGACACTGATTGAGATATTTTTGAAAACAAATATACAGGGTTGGGTAAGTTAATATATTTTTTTAACTAAGTTAAATTAAAGTTAACAGTCTAAAAATTTAAATTAGTTAAAATACAAGTTAGTCCATAATAAGATTAATTGAGTTAAAAGTTAAGTTAATAACAAAAAGTAATTGAAAAGCTAAAGTTAAATTTTTTTCATTTTATAATTTTAGGGTTTCTAAATAAAGTTTCTAAATGAAGTATATATTTGTTATACTTATTTCTGTCGCGGAAGAGGATCGATTTCGAAGGACTTCTTCCAACGTGATTTATTAATGCACAGAAGGTCCGCGATTCCTTTCCGCAGTCAGATTATATTAATTATATTATTACAATTGCATTGATGTGTGTTCTCAAATTTGAGTTTGAAGACACTAACTTAGACATGTATTTTATTTTGGGTTTACAAGAAGCACTAAAAATGTAACTTCAAGAAAGTTAGATCAAAAGTTAATAGTTGCCGATAAAATGTAACTAAATTAAGTTAAAAGTTAAGAGTCTAAAATGTAACTAAATTAAGTTAAAATTAAATATTTCACTTTTTAACTTTTTAACTTAACATTTATCTTTTTAACTAATCACTACTCAACTCTGCAAATATATTATAATATATTAATTTGACGTTTGGAAATGAAATATATTAAGCAACTTACAGTTTAAGTATATAATTAAATTTTGTCAATCATTGTTTACAAAGAGAGAATATTTTCAGACATTGAAAGCATTCTTACCAAGTATGATCGAAAAAAATCATGGTCATGTTGTGGCACTCTCATCAATGGCAGGACTTTTTGGCTTACCTTATGCAACAATTTACTC